TCATCCGCGCGGTACGGAACGTAGCGAGGAGAATCTCGCGGGTGAGTTACGACGGTACGTACCTACATCGCCGGCGAATAATCGTATCGCGCGGTAAGTGCACGCGGCCGATTACGACCCGGTGGGCTCGCGCCTTCGGCGATGCGGTTTGTTTAGCGCGAGGCAAGTAAATCAATCGACGCGCGCTGTGGCCGTAAAGCGCGCAGGAGGATGCTCGAAGGATGTGAATTAACCGCGCGCCCCGCGCTCAGTAGTTCGCGATAGAACTGGCCAGACGAGAGCGCGGCTGCTCCGCCGCGGTGCAACGCCAGCCTCCGGCGAGCGGTCCAGAGATATAATGCAGCCCGCCGTGGATATTCCGAATCTCAATTTTATTACAATTTATTTTATCGCGACTCGCGCGACGTGATCGAGATACGCCGCGATAATCCTTGCGAGATGATCGAATTTCTCGGAGGAGAGATTTTTTAAGTACCGAGGCACCTGCTGCGCGCAAGTTTAAATTCCAGTGGCCTCTGCTGCTTGAGAAACGTTACTTCAAATTATAATTAGCGGGAGGCCAATTACCGGAGGGATCCGAGAAGTATCAATAAAGAAGACCAATTAGGGACGGCTCCTCGCGTTGGCCTCTCCGGATCCGTTTTACCGTCTCGCCGTAAACAGCTGGATAGGCCAGCTGGTAGATCAGGTCCCCCCTAGCGAGGAGGGAGGGGGAGGGGAACGATAGATCAGAAGTACGCCGTGCCAGGCGACTTCACCTCTTCGTCGTCTAATGCATGCGCGCAGCCGGTGTACAGACCCGTCCGCCGACAGAGTGTGGTGGCATTTAGGATCCGTGCCGTCGTGCTCGCGGCGGTGATGTTACGCAAGGCGCGCCTTTAGCCGGCAACGGCGACGACCTCGCGCGCGCGGTCCAGCAGGATTTTCTTGCGAAATCCCCCGACCCGAGAGTGCGCGAGTTCCTCGTTGAAAAGCGCCGCCGCCGCCGCGCCTCCCGCGCCCCCGCCGTCGTGCTCGCCACCTCGTCTTCTTCCCAGCGGGACACGGGAAGAGAGCACGTGGCTGGAATCGCGACAGGAGACGAGCAGTTTTCCCCCGGTCGCGCCGTGAACTCTCGCGTAGCCCTCCGTGCGACTGTATTTCACGAGGAGGACAAGAGGGCGCGCGTCCCGACATTTCGAATCTACCTCGGTCCCGTTTACATTTCTACCTCGCCTCTCCGTTTGGAATCGTGACTTTTTAAGCGTCCCAGATAGCGCGGCAAATCCAACAGGAATTCTCTTTGAATTCCCCAAGTGGACGAAACGAATTCACCTTCCCATATCCCGTTTCTGTTTTAAGGACGTTCTTTGAGAGTTCAAGAGGAATTCGCTCCTATGCCAATTCTGGGCTGTTTTTCGGATGCGAAAGGAATTCTTTGTGTTCAAAATAACTTTAACTTACTTCCATGGAATCCTTTTTGAACTACCGGGAAGCGATTCTTTCGAGCTTATTTCGCACAAATTACGTAAATTCATAAAGAATTTGAAGAGGTGAGTTCCTCTTGAGTTCGTCACGACCTATTTAAGTCGCTTAATCATGGGACCATCTTCTCGTGGGAACGATTCCCGCCGAAACGATCAGTGAAATTGCCAGCAGGTTATTAATTAGCACGGGATGATAGAGATCAGGTGTCAACTTCGGGGTCCACGAACCACGCAACGCGTTGAGGATCTTTGCGTAACGTCACGGCGCGTGACGGACGTCTCGCATCTGTTTATCCGGAATGATCGCGCGTCTCCTTCGCAGCCAGCTGCGCCGTCCGTCGCGCACAATCGATTATACAATAATATCGCGCCTTGAGAAGACGCTCCGCGCCGCAGAAAGGAAAAGTCACGATCTGACGTGGCCCGCCGTCGCCGCCACGGGACGATGCACTAACTCGGCTAGTCATCTATATATGGTGTCCCACAAGCCTCGATCTATCGGGCTTAATGACCTTTCGCGAATTTCGTGGCGTTTAATACTTTCAGCAGCGTTACGTTCGGCGTCTCGCGAAATTCTCTCGTAAAAGAAATGATAAACGTTTGCATACGAAATCGAATTTCTATTTAACGTCGCTGTGTTGTTTAAATTATCTTTTTATCTGTTTTAAAATAAGATTTGAGTTATTATTTTACGTGCCATTTGATGTAATTAAATGGTCGCATTATATCGCATGTAAAATTAAAAGAGTGAGAATTTTGTATTTTTCCCCCCCAAGAATTTTGCAAGTCTATTTGAGAGGCAAGTGGTGACCGCAATTTTGTTACCCATTTACTTCAACTTGCGGGTTTTTTATTTTTCATTAATAGAGTAAGATCGATTCGAACATTTTAGCCTCTGTTCATTTGTTAGAAACTAATTATCTGCAAAATTTGGAATATTGACTCGCCAGTGATTAATTAACAATTAGGGACGAATAATCCGACACAACTGGCTACAGGAAAATTTATGAAAGATACTTGCGGAGGAAACTATGTATAATGAGGAACAGACGGTATAGAGTGGGTGAGATTGATGAAAACATTAATGTTATCCCTCGTCAATGATGCTGGGCAACGTGCTAACTGGCTAATTTGACGATAACGACTGCCGATGTTAATCGGTAACTCAGCCTACGGCGCTTGCATTGTCTATTATTAGTTGCGAACGTACGCAATTATATGAGGCGGGGGTGCACTTCGATACTGCGTCGCCGCGTGCAATCTCCGATTACACGTGCGTATGATATAACGCGACATACGCAGCTCGATCATAGACGTATTAGAAAGTCCGATGGGATTCCCGTGTGCGCGCAATGTTAATATAATGGCATATTATATAATATACAATGACACGCACGCGCGTGCATAATTGTCGAATGTTTAGACAAGTTGGACAAAGGTGGAAACGCGATGCGCGGAGAAAGCGAGTAGTTTCAACAACAGGTTCGGCGGTAACAATAAAGAGACGTTTCATCTTCGAGACAATAAACTTGTAATTAGTTTTAAAAGATTTTACTCTCCGCGAGAATGCCGAGGAGATCGGCCGCCGGCGAATTCGATCAGTGTCGGTAAGATTAGAGTCGGAATTAAAAACGTCAATTATCGACATTTTTAATTCCAAGTTTTACTCGGTCCGAAAAATGTATAGCCAATCAATTTGCAACTTTTACGACAAAGCAGCAATTTCATTAGCTACACATTGCTCAGACCGAGATTTTAATTAGTAAAATTAAAATTTTGTTTTCGTTTTTTTGATACAAAGTCGACCAGCATCGTCTAGACTTTGCTGCGTGCTTCAATTCCGCAGAAGAGTCTTGCATTTCTATAAAGCCAATTAAAAGGTTATTTCTAACAAAGAATGTCGATAAAACAGGCGGCTTTAGGGTCCCCTTACTGAAACAACGAACGCGATATTGCTCTTTCGTGAGGATTACGTGGAAGATCGAAGATTCCCGTGGAGAAGAAGGCGCGTCGTTGACTTCTATCCTCCCACGAAGAAGATGCTTACTCTCCGTAACGCGCCCTCCCTCTCTTTCCTCCTCTTTCTCTCTGTCTCTCTGCGTCTGGATCATTAGCATAAGCCGTTCACTTACGTAACAGTACACTTTCTTTTCAAATCTCGGTCGGCGCGCATCATTCCTGATTCATTATTCGATGATATAATTCATGTCAGACAATAAGTTTGTCGTGTGCCATTGATCAGAGATAAATGCGCGAGGGGATTCGCAACCTTTAAAGTGTTTCTACGAATCTCGACTAACAAATTCGGACATTTCGGCTAGCACATCAGTTTCGATCTCGAGTGGAGGATAAACGGCCGGAGAAGTGTTGCTGCTAAAAGTTGTGAAACGGTAAAATCATCTCTTTCTCGGTCTCGCGATTAAGGACAATTCACCGAGGACTCGAGGTGCCTCGCGACATCGATAGCTGGAAGGAGTGGAATTTTTAGGATAGACCGGGACTCTTCCTTGGAAGGCGACACTCTTCGCCAGTCCCGGGACTGTACTTCACATCATAAACTCGTTTTTCTTGAATTGGAAAACAAAAAGAAGAAGCGAATCGTCTCTTTATAACGCCTGTCTTTGTCGGACATCGAAACATGTTATTAGACTGTGCCACAGTAACATTAGACATGTTCGAAATATTTTTCATAAACAACTAAGACGGTTATGTTTCTCAAAGCAATTAAAAGAGATTCCAAAAGGTTGCGTGCACACACGTGCATTTATAGTATTCTATATTGCTGTAGAAAAATGATACTTTTTTTCACCGCAGCTGATTACTATTGAGCAAAACTGTTCGCAGAGCGATATCAATTCGCAATAACATATCGAGCGTATTCATTTTCGTCCCTAATTGCTCGGAGGATGCAACGTCAATTTATCAACGCGCACAAAAAGTTTCTCCCAATAATATAACAACTCCCGAGTCCGTTCGTCTGTAATCCTCTCTTAATTTTATTACTCGCTAAATGAAATGTTTCGCTGTCAGCCGATTTCGACGAATCGCAACGTGACGCAATAGAAGTCATGCATGATGGATTATCGACTTTGATTCACAGAAAATTTAGTTAGTTGATCAAACACATCGCATTAGAGCTACATGCAACACGTGCGCGTTAATATCCGCGTCAAGATGAGCCCGCGTTGCGCGTTGCGTAACGCGTAAAACATAATATAAGACCAATGGATTAAGATTTAACGAGGACGAGGAGAGGGATTTTACGTGTAACCTTTAGCGGAGCTTATCTCTCAAAGTGCATTTGAAATTGCTCCCGGATTAGTCCGCGTGTCTATTAACGCCGGAATTACGACACTGCCTGGACCAACGGTGCGAGCGTGTTTCGACAGCGGCGAATCTCGTAGGCGCGCGGGAAACGGAAATTCCGGAGAGAATTGACAATTAAATCTCGCCAGGAGCTTTCGTCCGCGCGAGACGTAAATCATCGCGAGGGAATTAGAGTTGCGCGAGTTATCTCTGTCGCGACCTGTCCAGGTGAAACCGCCCCAGCGTCCGTCCCTCGCATTCCAGCCTGACATTCTCGGGCCGCGCGCGGCCACGGGCTGTTGTGCCATCACCGCCCGGTCGGCCCGGTCATTTAAGGATTTCGACACATGGACATGAAAATTTTGGCAACGCCGTGAACGATGGTAGGGCGTAATTCGCATCGCACAATTCTGGCTATATATAATCGCCATCGGCGCCGTACGCCGAATCAGTTTTAGTGAGCCATCTCAGCACGTATCGTCACCTGTTCTCTTGGAGAAAAGAATCCGCCTGTCGCCATGAAGCTGGTGCGTGTTCTTCGAAAAGATTAGTCGCGACGTCTCACGCGAGAGAAATGGAAAAGAGTGTCCGCGCGATCGCTCGCCAGTGGATCGGTCCCGGTGAACTCGCCGAGTTCCCCGGGATGAAATTCTCGCGGTGAATCTCGCGGTGTGGTGATTCCCCTTGAAAAACTTTCGCTCGTTCGGGACCTCGAGGACTACGAAATGGAGCATCGCGGCGCCGTTGCGTTATCAAGCGGCGCGTAAATAAAACCAATTAGGGCCGCTGTCGTTTCTCAGAGGAACTCGGCGATATCACTATCGTGTCGCGGGAGTTATCTTCGTCCCGTGTAAAGGAGAAATGTGTCTCGCTTCATATTTATCTTATTAATTCATCGTTCAAGTAAATCGTTGCCCTAATAGCACAGTGCATTGGTTAAACATTGGCCCAATACACCCAAATATTGAGCCACTGTTTAACCAATGTTTGGTCAATGCACTGTGCTATTAGGGTATTTAATCTTCCCTGCTTTCACGTGAGACTCGCGAAAAGAAAAATATCCTAATTTTACTAGAATAGGAACAGACTATCATAAGTTAAGACGAAGAACACTAGGAACTGATCGCACCAACGTCGCTTAACGTTAGCTTAATTCACTCTTTGTCTCTTTATAAGAAAAACAGTTGGAAAAAGACGAAGAGCGAATTAAGATAAAAGTTACGTGACGTTGGTGCGAACCTAGGACGTGTAGAAGACGCCAAGATATCTTATCAAGCCGCTAAAATATTCCATCACGCATAATCGTTTGACAAGTCGTTTCGTTACTCTGCACATTCAGATAATTGTCTTCGCCGCCGTCGTCGCCGTCGCCCTCGCGGCGCCCCCGCACGACTACAGCCAGACCGTGGTCGTCAAGGAGACGCCGCTGGACAACATCGGCATCGACGGGTACCAGTACGGCTACGAGCTCTCCAGCGGCCAGGCCCACCAGGAGTCCGCCCAGCTGGTGAACGCCGGCCAGGAGAACGAGAGCCTCGTCGTCCGCGGCAGCTTCACCTACGTCGACCCGGAGACCAACGTCAGGTACACCGTCAACTACGTCGCCGACGAGAACGGATTCCACCCCGAGGGTGCGCATCTGCCGGCCGTCTAGATCCTGACGAGGGTCCTACCTGTAAACCTTTGCAACTGTGTTCTCGCATCCACCGCCGAAACTCGCGGCTACGCTCGACCTCGAGAAACTCGATCGTACATATGACAATTTTAGCTTTAAATAAATTTATCTTTATACTTAATTCCCTTGCGTGTAAATCACCCCCCCCCCCCCACGACTTTTTCATTTTTCACCTCGCCGACGGATAAATAGTATCCTCCTCGGATACGTAGTATCGCTCGGTAAAATAATTTACGGTTGAACCTTGTGGATCGACAATATGCACGAACGACTGTTCATTTGATTCGATTAATTTACTAGTTTAATAAGACACATTATACAAACAATCTGTATTCTTCAACAGAGCAATAAAAACATGACGTAATGCGCAAGTTTTGTCAATTGGCTTGTTGGATCTTTATCATGCGATTAAGTATGAATATACACGTTATTGATATACGTTGCTGTGTGCAGTAATCAATTTCGATAATAAAATCAGTTAAGGCGCTTGAAACACACAATAATGTGTTTCTAGCTGCTTTTTGCTTTCCATCGTATTAAAGAATATGCCAAAAACCAATAGAAAATGGAACAGTGGTTAGTTTGTTAAAGATTTGAATGAGTGAGAACAAGTGTCCATAGGCAAATGGCCCCAGTTTTTTCGCACTCGAGTTTGGTCACAAAGTAGGTACCAAACGAAAGGTCTCGTCAAGCTGATTACAGATATGTCAATCTCAGAGTGTACCTATTTAACGTTCTAGAGATATCGGGCTCCAAAGGTTCCATTCCAAACAAATGGTGTCCGTCCGGACGGCTTCATCGCTTACGTCCTGGGAATTTTGGTTAAATACACTCTGAGACTGACGTATCTGTAATCGGCTTGACGAGACCTTTCGTTTATTACCTGCTTTGTGACCAAAATCGAATGCGAAAGAAATGGGGTCGATCTTGTTCGCTTGATTCTCTTCTTGAATTGTCGACGGCGCACGATGAGTTTACGAAGCTCTGTGCTCTCTAGTCAATTTATTGATAGTTCATTGGAAAGTTGAAAATGTATTAAAAGAACTAAAACTTTACCTCTAGACATTTTATTATTATATAAGTAGTAGTTATTTATATCTCTGATTTGTTGCGATATTTTAACCATTTTGTATATGTATACAAAATATAACAGTGAGTATAGATGACATTAACAAAAAGCTCGACATTAATAAAACAGATAAATGTATATCAATACGCTTCTATTAAAAAGATCCCCGGAAAATATTATAAAAGTTATCCTTAAACGTTTACAAAAATAATTAAAATTAATCATTTACTCGGAATATTTAATAAAATAGCCGTTGTCCATTTTATTAAAATTTTCGCTTTCTAGTACGAGTTACTACTTTCGATATTATACAAAAATCTTTCCATCGTATTAGACCAACGTTACTATTTTCAATCATCTTCCACGAGCGCGTGACAGGCTCAGCTCTTTTAATACACTTTCAATTTTCAAGTGAACTATCAATAAATCGACTAGAGGGCACAGAACTTCGTAAACCCATCGTGTGCCGTCGACACACTCATCGCGACGATACGTTTCGCAATAAGATGTACTACGAAAGAATCCGAATAGATTAAGCAAGTAGTTTCCCTTGATCGTATCGAAGGTTAAAAATATGTTATTTTTACATTGCTATCGTTTTCAAGGCTTTGGCGAGTAGTGTTCCTTGAGGGCGGCTAGAAATCTCGTCACGGGGGCACAACGTGATGCACGTTTAAGAGGCGATAATCGACTCAAACTTGTCGCTACCTTACAGACTGGAGTCACCTTAATTTATGGGAGGATTGGCAAAGTTACCTCTCTATAAAGGTTACATCAATAATTAATGATTGGGAATACCTCAAACTGAATCCTGAAGCAAATGGAATTCCCTCCCGCTTACTCGTAAATTGCAAGAGAATTTTTTAACCAACTCAACAGAGAGCTCGCCCAGACATTTATGCCGTATTTAATTTGTATTATTTTAACAATGTGGTGGTGCTTATTGTAGCCAACAATGAGTAAAACTAAGTCGCAAACTTATAGTCGGCCAAACCGGCGAGAGATTAATTTATTAACAGAAAAAGCTTTACAGTGTAATTTAGTCGAAACGTTCTAGCTTTTTTTGTTAACAAATTAATCTCTTGCCGGTTTCGTCGACAATAAGTTTGCGACTTATTTGTATTATTTTGTTGCTATTTACATGTGAGTTACATAAATAAAATTGGTATTTATTAATTAATATTTTTAAACAAATTTGTATCAACAATTGATATATTAAATTATGATACAACTTTACATTAATTTTTTATTAATTTATACCAATATAAGATCTTCTTAATACGGATTTATTAAACTTATTAATTATATAGTCAGATTTGTCAACGTTTTGGCTTTTAAGTAAATAACAGTTACATTCCGTTATTGTTGTTAAGAAAAGAATTATTTCATCGAGACAAAACGTAACGAAAGCTGCAAATATCTGTTTGTTAATACAAGAGTCATCGAGAGGTACGCGACTGTCTTTATTGTAAAATTGTCAGGTTTCATATCGTCCGATTGGCGTTATCGAAAAATTCTTACGAAGGTCGGAATTTGGACGACGATCGGCGCGCGTGTTGACCAGCGAAATACGAAGGAAGAAAGGTGAGAGGTGAATTGGCGTAGACCCAGTCAAACTTTTGGCAGTAGGAGGAGCGCTATAAAATCGCGGCTGATTTCGGCAATCGACATCAGTCTTCTTCCGAGAACGAGAGTGGCCGTGCACACACCATCATCCTCAACATGAGAACAGTGGGTATCTTCGAGGTCCCCGCGCCTTGGAATTACGATTTACGAGGGGTCGGCCCTTATAGTTCGTCGCGAGCGCGCGTAATTTATCGCGGATTAATTCGAGGCTCGCCATCGTGAATCACAACGACGTCCGGTCGAGCAGCCACCTCGCGCTAATAGCTTTAATTCTCATCAAGGAAAATTGACTAAACTCCCTTTCTGCCGCAGATCGTCGTCCTCTGCGCCCTCGTGGCCGTCGCCCTCGCGGCGCCCCCGCACGACTACAGCCAGACGGTCGTCGTGAAGGAGACGCCGCTGGACAACATCGGCATCGACGGGTACCAGTACGGCTACGAGCTCTCCAGCGGCCAGGCCCATCACGAGTCCGCCAAGCTGGTGAACGTCGGCCACGAGAACGAGAGCCTCGTCGTGCGCGGCAGCTACACCTACGTCGACCCGGAGACCAACGTCAAGTACACCGTCAACTACGTCGCCGACGAGAACGGATTCCACCCCGAGGGAGCGCATCTGCCGACCGTTTAAATTCACTAGCCATCAAGTAGATAGTAAAGTCGATAGGAAAAACGGACAGCTCTGGATAAATTTTCGTCATCATCAAGCGGGCTGGAGGGGACAATCGAGGGGCAGTCTCGGGCGTTTCAACCATCCCGCATAAATATCCGCGTAATTTTAAAATAATTCGCGGTAATCAACTCATGATTTATTATTATTACGGATGCCTCGATGCGTCGAATAAACGCACTTGTTTACGACGCAATAATCGTACGCACGGCTGCGAAACTGCATTTTTCTTCCCGTAATCGTCACCCGCGTGCAGCTTTAAATAAAAATCGCGACTGTGCATACGAGTCTGCGTTATAATAAGTCGTAAAATTAATACCGCATTCTTCGAAATTCCAGCCGGGCATTAAACAGTATCGATAATTATAGCGTCTCGCAATCGTGAATTTAATCCTGTTCGGAATGCGCAGCTACGTTTGGAAATTTATTCAAATGTAGTTCATTGTAAAATAGCTATTTCGATCTCAAGTTAATAAGAATCTTATTAAAGACATACGTGAACATTATTTCCACCTCCGGCAATTACGGCTCGAGAGTATCGAGAAGCTCCGCCGCACGCTTAGCTTCTCCGTTCTCTCTGTCGCGTTTTTCCCCCCAAAAGTTTCTTATATTCTGCATTTAAAAAAGTACAGAAAGATGCAAGAGCGAAACGAGTGGCGCACGAAGAATTATCGTACGGCAACGTTTTTCTTGGCGATACGTCACTATTCTTGGCCAATATTTCTTTCGAAATACCTCGGAACGAAATATTTGTTCCCGAATGTACGCATAATTTTTACATATAAGCAATCAAATTTCGCGGACGCATATCTGCATAATTGAAGAATTATTTCAACGTTACGTAACATGCCGATAAAAACAGAATGCGTTAAGCAAGTTGCTATCAAAAAAGGTGCTATCATATATTTATATTTACACCTCTAGGCAGTTTATATTTATACACTTGCACACGCATTTTTTGAGCGCTTGGTATATACTGCACGCTGTTATTATGCACTTTCTACAACAAATATTTAAGCCATTAATTTAATTTGCAGTTTAACGCGCTTCATTTACTCCCTGCGTTTATCGTTTCCTATCGCTAGTTGCTTGTTATTACTTGAAAGCCTCGGGCGATGGAATTGATATAATCGCGCTCGTGGCAATCAGTCATCCTTCTTAAAGAAGACATCGGCGGGAATAGCGAAATCATGACAAATAAATATGCACCTCTTGCAAAAGGTTGCGAGAGCGAAACGACAGATGCCTTACGAAAAATGGATTGGCTTTCAAATTTCTTACACCCGCTCTTAGTGAGTCAGGCGTTTTATCGGCGCTCGTTGTTCGCGGCAGAATTCTTCGGTCCTTTCATCCCTTTCTCTCCAACGTTGAATTATATGCTTGTTCCATTAAAAAACAAATTGTTAGTAGCTCGGCCGCGAGAAAAAGCACTCTAGGAAATCGTAATTGCCAAGTGGCGAAAACTGACCTGACAATGAGACGCGAGCGAGTTCAAGTATTTAAATTCAAAGGGAGCGAATTCTCGATAACAGGATAACATGGCGCGATACCAGGATAACACGGAAAAGCTGCAAGTTAATTGACTAGACATTTCTCGAAACTAGAACTTGGGCCGAGTCCTAGCATTGTGGACACAGGCCTTTAAGAGTTTGTCAAATTCCCGCGAGTGAGAGAGAAAGATAGGCTGCCTCGCTCTTCTACGATCGTAGAATCGTAGCTAAACGTCGTTAAACGATCGTAGAAGCGTGATACAGCCCTACGTTTTTCTCTAACTCGCGGGAATTTGACGAATCTTTATGGCCAGCCTCTGATTACAGGGTCTCTAAGCGGAACTAGAGTTCCTGTAATCGGAGACTGGCCATAAGAGAGCTCGTCAAATTCCCGCGATTCTACGATCGTGGAAAAGTGAGACAGCCTATGTTTCTCTCTCACTCGCAGAAATTTGACGAACTCACTTATGGCCAGTCTCTGATTACAGGGTCTCTAAGCGGAACTAGAGTTCCTGTAATCGGAGACTGGCCATAAGAGAGCTCGTCAAATTCCCGCGATTCTACGATCGTGGAAAAGCGAGACAGCCTCCCAGTGAGAAATGATTCGTCGATCGACGTCGAAACGACGAATTGTCGAATTGACGTCGATTCGACATCATTTCGACGTCAATCGACGAACCATTTCTCACTGAGCCTATGTTTCTCTCTCACTCGCAGAAATTTGACGAATTCACTTATGGCCAGTCTCTGATTACGGGGTCTCCAAGCGGAACGGTCGTCTGGCGCCATCTGTCGGCCCATCTATCGCGGTCGGTATTCAACTCAAGATTATTTTACGATATACCGCCCGAGTCCAGGCGAGACCAGCATTACCGAGCTTCGATTAACTAAATGTATCCGATTTTATCGACAGGTTATGACGAGTACGTGCTCGTGCGAATCGTCCCAACGGTCGAATACATCGAATTGACGGAAAGGCGAATAACAGCAGCCCGCGCAAGAATAATGCATAAATGCACTCACCAGAGGGTTGCTTCGCCGTCGCTCGATGTCTGATCCCAGGTCGCTGCTTCCTCTCAGATCCCTCCATTTCGCACTGGCAAACGGCACAACGCGGCACAGCGCGGCACACGCGAAAAAGGAGTTCATCATATCCGAGTGACGCGCGCCACGGCACTCCCGGCGTTAACCGACGCGAGCTCGTTGCGACGAGAACGCGAAAAAGAGGTGTACGGTCGCGCGCGGGAATGCGAGCCGCCAACGGTGGCGTCGCGCGAAACGCCGGGAACGTCCCGGCGAGGCTGGACGCGTCTCGCGACCGAACGCGAGCGTTCAACGGGGCCGATCTTGCTCAACTTGGTCAGCGTCACTCACCACCGCCGCGGTGAAGCGTCGCGACGACACCGTCGGCGCGGGAGACCGATCCGCTGCGTGTCCGCGGCACTTCGCGATGCTTCTCGAACAGAGACCAACATGGCGTCGGTAGCCGGCGCCCCCCTCCCCCGCGCGACACTACGCGAGTCGAGTCGGCGACGCGACGCGAGTGGACAGTCCGCTTTAACGTCACTCGTACAGTGTACATCTCAAGCGAACGCGTAAACTGACATGCTTTTCACTGACGAACAATCGAGTACACGCTCGCGAGGCTCTCCTGTACTCGAATTACGTATCGCGGGAATAGCGAGCGCAAAAACGGTGGACGGCAACGTTCAACGGTCCGCCTGCCGTGCACACTCCAAGTGCGTGCTCGCCTGGCCGTGGCATTAACTTCGCGGAGAATGATCGCGCACATCGCCCCGTAGTGTATGTACATACATACGTACCGGCAGCGCGAACAACAGTGCGACGCATGGAACGTTCCTTGACCTCGGTAGCGTAGTAGCGGTCGCGGCGGCTCGAGACAAACAAGCGACGATCGCTGCGGCGCGCGGCGGCTCGACGAGTTTCGACGGCTTCGAAAAATATAGCATTTTTTGATTTGCCTAATACTTTTTGAGATATTCAAGAGAAAATTTATAACTTTTTCAATGTTTAATTTATAATTTCTCGATAACTGTTTGTCGGAGGGAAAAGTAGTACAGGACTTTTTTTACTTGATTTAGTCTCAGGAATATGCTGTTGCAATGGTGTTTCAATTATTGAAAAATTTTGTGTTACAATACACAACAATTTTCAATAATTGAAACACCATTGCAACAGCATATTCTTGAGACTAAATCAAGTAAAAAAAGTCCTGTACTACTTTTCCCTCCGACAAACAGTTATCGAGAGATTATAAGCTAAACATTGAAAGAGTTATAAATTTTCTCTTGAGTATCTCAAAAAGTATTAGGCAAATAAAAAAATGTTTCAGACAAAAGTTGTTCATATTAATTAGTAGAATAAGATAGTATAATAAACAATAGAGATTGCCATTTAAAAAAATGACGGCGTTCTCCA